CTACCATACCGTCATGGCACAACAGAAGAAATCCAAAGAATCTTAAAACATCACAGAATCAAAGTGTATTACAAAACAACGGACACATTACGTAATACTTTAGTTCGCCTGAAAGACAAAATCCCTTTCATGTCCACACACAACTGCGTCTACAAATTAGGTTGTATTGATTGTGATGCCTATTATATTAGAGAGTCATCCCACGAAATCGTGACTAGAGCCAAAGAAACCTCCTAACAATCCTGTAGAATTGAACCAACTTCAAATTAAATCGGCAATAGCAGTTCATGCCATTTTCAACAAACACCAAATCAATTTTTAAAATATCAAAATATTGCAAAAAGGCTTTTCCAACTACAAAGAAAGGAGGGTAGCTGAGACGTTCCATATAATGCTTAATCATACTACTCTCAATAGAAAAGAAGGTCTTTAGTGGCCCGTGGTTCTGACTCCTATTTAGAGCGTATGGAAGATGGCTGAGAAGCCAACTCCAATTCAAGCCGGGCATTACTCAATATTTATAGGCAGACAAAATAAACTACAGACATGTGATGAGTCATGGGACATGAAGTGTACACACATATACGCTCATGTGAAAACAGTCAAGGCTAATAAGCGAATAATTAACAAGGTCAAAATAAGACTCAAGTAGAATGAATAGAATGGAATGTCCGAAAACTAGAATAAGATATATTATGGGGTAAAACTAATGACTAACACTACAGGTCTTACTATACATCCTACTTGGACCATCTATCCTATCCATACAATTTCACACTATCATATTACAAATTTAAACTCTATCCTTTCTTACCATAAAGGTCACACAAGTTTTCATTCTTAAACAATGCACATATAAATACACACAAATTTACATACATATCGCTTATGAATCACCTTGACAGAAATGGCATGACATCAACTTGTTCAGACCTGTGTTTTTTTATTGATCAAGTATTATTCTTGCATTGTTCCGTTGTACTATTTAAACTTGGATTAATTTTAATTTGGTTATTTATTCTCTGAAGAAGTGACTTACACTAAGTCACGAAACGTCAGAAAATCCAATTTTCTACTCATTGGGATATTACAAATATATTATTTTATTTATAAAGACTATTTCAGTTTATCTCACTCCTTTCTATCCATTTTTTCCGTTTTCAGTGTGCTTCTTAGTGTATTTTTACGGTCTTAGGCTTTTTCAAGCATCTGTAACATAGTTTGCTTCAACATAGTCATGAAAAACTCATGCAACTGTCCGGGATACCGTTTTGCTGTTACAACTGGCATGTAGTGCGACAACTGCAAAGTTTGATTCCACTAGGCGTGCACAGATCTAACGGCAACTGCTCACAATAGACTCAGCAGATCGGATCAAAAGTGGGTATGTGTCACGTGCAGAACGGATGCTGTAGTCTTGCTGAGTAACATCATCGTCCTACTGACAGGTCGGCGGAACAAGTTATCAGCAAACTTGGATAACGACAGTAAAAAAACGGGTAGGCAAACAAGAGCGCGCAATGAATACAAGAATAAGGATGTTGACAGGTATACCATCGATGAAGCATTCATTAGCACTAATGATGATGTGTTGAAGCTCAGCACCATCAATACGTTGACGGTACTAGACTCTCTAAGTAACTCGTGTCTCCCAGCTCAGGGTCCCTGAACACAACAGTGGTTCCTATAAACTCTGTAGGTGATTCGACCCACGTTAACAGAGCCCAAAAGGACTAGGCGTCACTGCCTAAGCTGAGCATCCCAAGTATTGTTGTATGGAAGACAACTGGTGATTTGGTCTCACAGTCTGCCCCCAAGAATGTTCGTCTAGTCATCAAAGAGCCCAAGATTTAAAAACGTGCCTTGACCTCCAAACAACAAGGTATTAAATATGAACCCACTGGAAAACCTGGTAAATTAACAACGGTTCGTAGCACAAAGGCAAGTTGAAGTTAACTGTCTAGATGATAAAAAACGTGTAAAGGACAGGGCCTACCAACTCGGTAAACCTCATATAGGTGGGCTACCTGTTCATTCACGTAAGGCTCATACAGACAAACAAGATGAAGCTCACGCATTCCAAATTGAAAGCATAAACTGCTTATATACAAACGCCGCGAGTCTACCAAACAAATTGGATGAAATACGTGAACTTAACTAATAAGGCCCATATGATGGGAATATGTGAAACTTGGATACCTTCTCAGTTCTCGGACCAAGAGTTAGCAATACCTGAGATGTCTTCGTTTCACAACGACAGAAAATCAGAAATTGGGGGCGGAGTAACCGTAAACATACGATCTTCCTTAGAGCCACACCAAGTCCATAACCTCGAGTTAAACAATCTTGAGGAATCCATATGGTGCTCTGCAACATTGTCTACTACTTCGACGTGCCTAGTCGGAGTCACATATAGGAAGCCCACGGCCGACATCCAGTACGATAGTCGTATGCTGGAAGGACTATCCCGCTCTACTCGTCTCGGTTTCACACACATTCTGATTCTAGGGGACTTTAATCTCCCCAGAGTCAACTTTCCGTAACACACGTATACTGGAAGGCGAAAATTCAATTAAAGCTCGGTTCTTCAACCTCATTGATGACTTGGGATTATACGAAAATGTGAGGTCGGCAACTCGTTGGAGAAACAGTCAGATACCATTGCGCTTAGACTGTGTATTCACAAACGAATAATTCCTAGTTGACAACCTCTCAATCCTGGCTCCCCTGGAAAAAAGCGATCATGCCGTCATAGCTTTCAGTTTTGTCAGCAAAACTAAGCTAAGGTATCCCACAAATTACTTGCGTTGGAATTTTAAACTGTTGAATGTGTCAGCTCTACAAGACTATCTACAACAGGTGGTTTGGGATGTTTACCCTCAACGGTCATTGGGACTTCTTACTGCACACGCTCTTATGTGCTACAAACCATTCAGTTCCTCAAACGGTTCCCAAAAGCTGCAAGCCACCTACAGTAATCAAGAACTGTACCCTTCGCCTGCTAAGCCGCAAAAAGCACTGTTGGGCGGAATACAAACGAACTGACAACGACGGAGCGTACAGGCAATATAAGCATATCAGGAGCATATGGACGAAGGCTATAAGAGAAAACAGGCTTCAGTACCAGACAAAGCCTATGGACAAATTCGCCTCTAATCCTAAACGCTTATTTCGTTATGCAGCCTCTCTTCGCCAAGCCAAAACTGCAGTTTCCCAACTGCTAGGTCTCAACGGCCTGACCAATAACGATGGCGACGCCGCTAAGCTTCTGGCTGAACATTACTCTCAGACATTTCAATCGACCGACATCAACTTTACTGATGACAGTTTCATCTGCAATTCCACAGGACTTTCCGAAGTGAACCTAAGCGCTGACTTGGTGTTCCGGAAATTGCAGCACTTAAGATTAGACACTTCTCCTGGCCCGGATATGGTCCATTCTGCCATACTGAGGGAGGCAGCCTCAATCCTGGCAACGCTGCTTAGCGTGATGTTTTCACACTCGCTTAGCCGAGGCAAATAACCGGAAAATTGGAAGTTGGCTCACATCACACCAATTTTCAAAGGAAGTCAACGCAATGAACCTTCAAGTTATCGGCCGGTGGCTCTTCCGTCAATACCTTCAAAACTCATGAAGTCCCTGATATGCGATGGCTTAAACGACTATATGCTATCCTTAAATTTCTTCTCACCCCAACAGCATGGTTTCAGGAAGGGCTACTCTTGTATAACCAACCTGCTGACTGCGGTGGACAGATGGACAAGCATCCTCGATCGCAAGGGAAAGGTTGACATCATTTACCTAGATTTCTCAAAAGCTTTTGATAAGGTTAACCATTTATGTCTTATCAATAAGCTCAAAAGACTAGGTATCAGACCACTTCCAATCGATTGGCTTACTTCATACCTGAAAAATCGACATTTTAAGGTTAGGGTTAATTTCACTTTATCTCAGGCTATGGAATGTCCTAGTGGGGTCCCGCAGGGCTCAGTACTAGAACCTCTTCTCTTCTTTATCTAGATGAATGGTCTTCGTCAACAGGTAGCGTCAGATTTCTTACTTTTTGCAGATGACGTTAACCTTTGGAGAGAGATACGCAGTCTAGACGATATACAGGCACCTCAGGATGATCTGACTCGACTTCAAAGTTGGGCAGCCAATAACGGACTTACTTTTAACACTTCAAAGTGTAAAGTAGTCCATCTGCGATATATCGCAAACTACAGTTACAACTTAGGAAACTCCTCTCTAGTAGTATCCCAAGTCGAAAAAGATTTAGGAGTCCTGGTGCCCCATGACTTAAAGTCTTACGCTGTGACAAAAATGCCTTCCGAGCAAACCTTGCACTGGTAACGTTGAAGCGCATTTTTGAACAGTTTGACGGACGAACTTTCCATAAAATCTTCAATAGTTTCATCCGTCCCCATTTAGAGTACAGAAACTTAGTACTCCCCCCTCACTCCAAAAGGACAAGGTCACTTTGGAGCGTATCCAACGGCGAGCCACGAAATCAGTTCGAGGACTCAAACCTAAACCTTACGAAGAACGCCTCCATTCACTAGACCTTTACCCATTAGAGTATAGGCGTCTTAGAGGTGATTTATTAATGGCTTATAATATTCTTAACACTTCTGGACATCCTCTTAAACACCTACTTAAGCTTAGTTAGAACATTAACCTAAGGGGTAATACCCAGAAACTGGAGACACAACATAGCAAAACGGAGTGTAGACATAACTTCTACTCCTTAAGAGTCGTCAAGTGCTGTAACTCGCTGCCGGCCGAGCTAGTCCAAGCGACTTCCCAGGAGTCCTTTAAGAGGCCACTTGACCTATTCTTAAGGACCAAGGATAGCATCATACTATGATTTACTAATTTCTTTTTCCTCTTTTATTGTTAACATACCTAGATCCCTGCTTGGAGGATTTGGTGATCCCCTGCTACTAGACACGGAAGCCTGCTAAGCAGAAGCTTCTTCTATTCCGTCCACAACCATCTGAACTATTTGAATTTAGACAACTTCATTTACAGTTGATTAAAGAAAACTTTTATACCTGCTTGCTTGAGGTTATGCATAAAAAATCCAGTGATCCGTTAGATTCAAAGAGAAGTGATTAACCAAATTCTTGTTTAGTTCTGTCTAAAATTGTTTGATACCACTTGAAAATATTGTATATTGAAAATGCAACTGAAGGCACCACTTGTTTGTATAGATAGCCTCGGTATTATTTGAGGGTGGGACTATACTTCTTGGGTGCTGTGTATTCATTCCTAAAATGATTGGGATAGAAGTAAAGGGACGCTTAAATCAATACGTAAAAGTAAGTAATGTATTTGCACATGTATAACATTTTTAGGCCATCCTGCGCAACGTAGTTGACGAAAATGTGATTGTCTTCTACCCGGAAAAGTGGGTTTAAGTCATGTTTTCCATTCCTCTCTTTCAGAAATGAAGAGGAACAGGTTCCGATCAAAAATGTGCGACTACCCCCAACTTCCGAACGGTTAGTTTGCAAGCAGTATTGGTAGCTCCATAAAATGGTCGTGTCCTACATACATAATGCGCAACATGGTTAGCATACTTCATGTTCTGAATACAAGGTCATAGCCACCACTAATTGTCAACGGTGTTATAGAACTACCGGCAAGTAAAAGGGGTCAGCTCCCTAGCGTCTAGTTTGAAAGACCTAGGCAATCAGTCCTTGATTCATGTCAATGCAGATCGTTTCGTTACTGCTGTATAAGTATCCAAATGTAGTTCAAGTTACCTTTTTCTTAAGTCCATAGTGTATTCGGGTGTGGTTATTCTATCGAGTTTGGTTTCTATTAAGAACACGAAGAGATCACGTAGCATTCAAACACCCAATACTCGCCAAGTCTGCTTTCAAGTACGATGGGTTATATTATTCTAAATCTGAAAAGTGCTCTAAGTTCATTATGACTAAAGTCGTATTCCCTATAAAAAGTGGTGGAGGAAGTAAACGAGTTGGACTGCGGCTCAAGAGAACTACCGGTTATATAGTGGAAAAAATCCTGCATGTCACTGAGAGACGTATGAAAATTTTAGCTGCATGGACTGGAAGAGCCTCGTTAGTATTGCTTCATACGCAGAAATTCATCCTTCTCTTGTATGAGTTTATAGTACTTAGTGTTCTTATTTTCAGTTTCCAATATGCACTTACTCTCTGCGTACTAACGAGTGCCTCATAGTGGCTTGACTTGTTAAGAGGCTTCAACATCAAAAGTATACTCTCGGTATACCGAAATCCTACTGGCAGTTTTGTCCTTTAGTGTTAATGCATATTCTCAATAAGTTGTATTCATGCTTGTTCTAGTAACAAAGATATTGCCTGAAGACCTGGATATTCTTTTTTTCTAAGAACACGATATTCCGAGTGGTCAAGCACATTTAAAATAGCCATTATACCCGGTCTATTCCTTAACAGCTAGTTGTTTTCCACATTTTCTCGGTTGATATTTGTCCACAGTCAACCTAATTCCGTGTCTTTCTAAAAACTGGAATGTAGTTAATACTTTCTACGTAGTCTTTTCGAAATTTATAGTGCACTTACTGAATAAGCCTGTTTGAAGTTAGAATTTGTGCATGTATTTTGTGGTACTCAAAGTTCATTTTAGGTTTAGATATCATCTCATACTAGTATTTATTCATCTGCTTACTGAGATAACTGCGTAAACGGCTGATCCACTAAGTTCTACATGACCTAAAGCTAGTACTAAATGAAATAAACAGTCCTTGTCTGAAAAGCTTTTTCAGAGGTCTTTTTTTGCGTTTCCAGAGATGTTCATCCTGGACAAAACGGGGAAGCCCTATTTTCCGTCGTGACCGATCAGACTCCAGGTTCATCTAGTAATACAATTACACTGACTGGCCGTTGGGGCGATGAAACTAATAGTAAACCGGAAGTTGAACTCATACTGGATGATCAGCTGAATTATCTCCCTATTCCATCTTGGTGGCCTTGTCGCGTTGTCAAGATTCGAGATGATGTCGCAGTAGTGAAGTTAAATGTATCACCACCGGCCGATGCAACGCCCTCAGAAATTTCACTTTGTACACACCTTTCTACTGTCACCGAGATCGTAAGTCGTAAGTCTCTACGTCAGCCCAGTGATGACTGCCCATGTCTGTCACCTGATATCATTCACCGGCATCGTATTGAAATTCCAAAGGAATTGGCAGACTTGTAAGTCTATCTTGAGCAATGCAGGCAGAGGACAGTTATGTTGTGTTCACAGTTGTTTTTATGTTTTGTTTTTTACATTTGATTGCTGCACTTGCCTTTATACCACTTTGTAACAAAATGAACTCACAGATCGGGTTATCGACATTTATAAGTTAGCTATTTCTGAAAATGCCACTTCGTGATAACTATTGATCGCTATGATATCCGCTGGAATCTTGATATAGGGTCAGCAGGTAAAGACAGTATTTCATCTTCATAGAGATTGTAGAAAAATGACGCAAGTCCACTTGTTTTGCTCACAAAACTTAGTGCCGTAGTAAAAAGTGGCCAGATTGTATTGGTTATATGACTACGTGTAAAACTTTTCATAATAATTTTTTGGAAATAAAATTCCTAATCAGGACTATAATAATTATTTCTCGTATTTCACTGTAGCGTCATTGGAGCATTTCTTTACTGAAATCACCGAAAACAATTTCATTTTGGGTGACGGTATCAACTCAGTTCACAATTTACTTGGACTTGATTACATGCTGGCTACTTTTTATTTATTTAAACATAAAGATTGGTGCAAAGGGGCACCAAATATTTTTACACCACACTTCATTTGATTTGTGTTTTGGCTGGAATATTGCCTAGGTTACCAGACCTCGAGCCTTTTACTTATAGATCCGGTCCACAAGGCAGTGGGGCAACGTTAGGAGACGCAATCCCATGGCCATGGTAGCCGATGACTAATAATCGGTTCACGACGATTTTTTCTCAGGGTTCATGAGCCTGTATGCACCACCGTTTTTGAATCAAGATTTTCCGAATTCCTTAAGTGAATTCCCAAAACCCACTAGCTTGATTGAAGCGTGGAGCGTTCGCCTTCCGTCCTTTCGACTTCGTAAACAACAGCCTCACTGCGGGAAGGCAGTAAGACTTCCTTGCTAGTGGTCGTATACGCGTGGCTATATGAGAGCATTTCGAGAGAGAGTGAATTCTTCCCACCTTCAACTGTATCAAAGCATGTCGGTGCTGGCTACTTTATGGGTCTTGTTTTGTTTTCTACTACATTATAAGTTACATCATGATAACAATACTGTATACGATCACCATCGTCGAATTATACTACTCACACTAGTTTCAGAACTTGAGATCCACTTATCTGACATCTTTTCTCACCTGAGCAGTAACTTTTCAAATCATTTATATACTTCGAACCCTTAGGGACGTACTAGAAAATAATAAAGGTGGTTGTGTCGTTCATATTTCATTTTCGAGTCAACGAATCTATTCATCTTAAACTTTATCAGTTTGCCATAGAGCTCATTAATAATTTTCTATTTTCAGTGCTTCTGATCCTTCTGTCCACCATGACTTTTTGCGCCATTGTGGTGGCCCTGTAAGCCTACACTACGATAATGAGTCTTCCTGTTTGGTCGTGTTAACGACAGACCCTGTAACAGCCAAGAATGTTGCCTTGTTGGAAGATACTCATTTAAGGATGTTGCGCCAAAAATGGGCCCTAACTCGAAGTCTTCGGCAAACTATTCGAAATCTTGAGGTAAGTGTTCATTCATCTCACACCGTAAGATGTAGTTCATTGTTTCTGTTGACAATCTACTAAATTTCATTTCTCGGAGCTTCTTAACCTCGGGGATTTTACTTTACCAACAGAAGCTTAATAATGGTGCGAAATTCTCCATACCGTACCTCAGAAGTACATAAACCTTGTAAAGGCTCTTTACTCGAACACTAATTGAACCAGAGCTTATGGCGAACTGTCAACCTCAGGTGATATCCGTCAAAGCTGTCCACTTTCTCCATTTTTATCTCAGTCAGTAACAACGTAGAATTTCGTACATACATCAGTTCGAGTTGCCACACCACATTAGCACAGTGATGCAGTTGTTTATTGAAATTTCGTAGTGGTAGAGGTAATAAGAGTATAAGCATAATCGGGAAGATGAGTGTTTGGAGATGTTACTTAAAGAGTATAATACACTGAAATAAATTTGAGAGGAAAAAAAAGAGACAATGAGGAATCAGATTAAAATTTGGGAGAACACAAAGAGTGTATGCACCTGCGCCATTGCAAACGATTTTGAGCCATGTCATTCAGGCTCTCTAACCATCAGTTGCTATCATCTCGCGGTCCCCAACCAGGTAGTCTACACCTACCGACATGACTCAGACCACTTGTCAGTGACTTCATGGACTTGTGCCATGTTTTGGTCTGGCCGCCCCTAGCTTTCTTCCAACCTACTCCTATACCACTGAACATCGCACGTCGAGGCAGTTGGTGGTTGGGCATAGGTAACACGTGTCCCAGCCATCTCAACTGACGGAGCTTCACTACTTCGTCAATCGATTTGCCATCATTACCTAGTACCCGTTTTCTAACAACTGCGTTACTTACTCGATGTTCCCAGGATATACGAGCAATGTTTCGTAGACACCTATGATCGAATACTAGTAACCTACGAATATCCTCTACTCTTACCGGTTACGTTTCACTGCCATAACGTAGGACGGAACGAACTGCTGCTCAGTGAACACGTCCTTTGTTTGATAGACGGATATCTCGTCTACGTCATAAATGACGCAAGTTGACTAAAGCTAGTCGAGCCTTCTGTATCCGTGCTGAGATTTCGTCACACACCAGACCACAAGGGCTGATGATACTTCCAAAATAAGTGAAGCGATCGACACGCTCAACTACTTCACTCCCTATCCTTAGTTTGGGTGTCAATGCAACCCAATACTGAAGCAACATTTTGCATTTTGAGGGGGAGAATCGCATGCCGAACATGTTTGCATTACTTTTTAGAGTGGCCAGAAGACTGCATTTTGTCAGCGTCTTCACCAAATAGAACTATGTCATCGGCATATTTCAAGTCAACAAGTGAATCTCCTGGTAGAAGTTCAACCCCTGGAAATTTAGATGAGGAAAGTGTCATCTCTAAAAGCACGTCAACAACAAAGTCGAACAAAAATAGAGTGGATAGCCCTGACGAACACCACTTGAGGTAATCAATTCTGATGACAGTTCGCCATAAGCTCTCACTCTACCAGTAGTGTTCGAGTAGAGTGCCTTTACAAGGTTGATGCACTTCTTTGGTACTCCTTTCAGTGACAAACACTGCCACAGAACCTCAGGCAGTCAGCTACAACGTAGAACCAGGCACATATATGCATCGGTCCAGGTTGCCGTACCGCATTAGCACAGCAAGATGAACACCGGATTCATAGGAGTGGTTAGGTCAAAGGTGGTAATATATAGGAGGAAGATTGCATATGAGGATACAGTACAGTCAACAGAGTCGAATGCAACCTTAAGGTCGAGAAATACTACGATTGTGGGGCGTCTGAACGTGTGTCTGTGTTCTAGAACCTGACGTAGTGTGAATATCTGATCTATACAACCACGTCCAGGTCAAAAACCAGCCTGATTTTCTCTAGTCTGTTCTTCACGAGGTTTAGTTAGGCGTCGGAGTATTATTGAAGCTAATATCTTAGACACTATATTTGTCAAACTGATTTCTCTGTGATTGTCACAAGAAGACTTTTGTCCTTTCTTATAGACTGACACAATCAGTGATTTAGACCAGTTCCCAAATTCTACCTAAGACCTCAGTTAATCTCACTGCTAATACCGGATCATTATCCCTAAAAATCTCGGAAGTAAACCTGTCAGGGCCTGCTGCTCTCCCTCAGTTCAGATTTGCGATAGGTTTTTCAACTTCATAAAGAGTCGGAGGACCTGCATTAACTCGCCATTCAGGTAGACTGGAGATCGTGGGGAACCAAAGTGTGGCTGAAGGCCAGTTGAACTGATCCCTAAAGTGTTCTGCCCATCGATCCAATCTCCTAGATTGAGAATGTATAATATGTCCATCTTTCTCTGAGATTGTTTCGCTAACAGTCGGGTTCCTAATGCCGGTTTCCTTAACGAGTCTGAACAATTGTCTGCTATTACCTATTACCGCTGCCTTTTCCATCTCTCTTGCTTTCGCTACCCACCACTGTTCACGATCATTACATAGGCTTCTTGTCAGCTGGTGCTTAAGCTGACTCCGCTCTTCATTATGTTCAGAGCAAGATGGGATACGTTTTCGAGCATCTATCAGTGCGGTAGATGGTGCTGAGATCCAATGTTTCTCTCTAACCTTGTGGTTTACCGTACTAGCAGATATCGCTGCTTTTTCTACAGCTTTTCGGGTATCATTCCATGGTGCCTCGGAGTGGGCATCACATACATGGCTGCCTAATTGTTTTTCTAGTTGTCCCTGAAATATACTCTTAACTTGACTATCATTAAGCTTAATATAGTACAACTGTGTCGACGTTCGTATTGAAGATGCTGACTTTGATATTGATTGACAGTTGTTTTGATTTGCATAAGTATTCAAACGGTAGAAATTCTGTCCTTGCTTTGCCAATCTTCGCCTTTACGTCTGCATCCGATCCTCCGTGTTTATATATGATGCTTCCTAAGTACGTTAAGGATTCCTCCTCTTCCAGAGTTTCTCCATGAAGTGTAATTGGATTGGTGTTCTCCATGTTGTATTTAAAGATCTTGGTTTTCCCCTTGTGTATGTTGAGGCCTACTGCTACAGAGGCTTTCGCTATACTGGTTGACGGTTTTCTCAGATACATCATAGTGTCGAAGAAGGCCCCATCACGTTCCCCTATCCATTCTGTCAAACGCCTTCTCATAGTCAAGGGAGTTGGTGTGTAGTGACGAGTTGCATTCAATTGAATGTCCAACGATGATCCGTAACGTCGCTATTTCGTCTGTGCACTACCGATCCTTACAGAATTCAGACTGTTGATTTCAAAGTTGGGCGTCTGCTCAATTCTTCATTCGATCCAAAAACACTGTTGGAAAGTTTTCCTCATACTGATAGTAGTATGACTCCTCACACTTGCTGAGATCTTTCTTAGACATCCTGATTAGGTGTCCTCCACAGTCTGTTGACAATTGTTGTTTCTCCATTTTTTTCTGTGGAACGTCTTCGTAGTTACCTTTATATGTGACCTTGGTGCTTCAGCTGGTATGTTGTCTGTTCGTTCTGCTTTCCCACTCTCGGTTTGTCCAATCGTCACGCTGATTTCTTCGATCATTAGTCAAATGATGGCTATAGGAAGGTCTATGTGTGATACATCAATGTCCAGTGGGTTCAGTAGCGCTGTTGTAGTCAAGAGCTCTTCAAAGTAGACTACCCACCTGTTCTGCTGTTCGTAAATCTCAGTGATTGGTTTGCCCTTTTTGTCCTTCACTGATCACTCTTGTTTACCATATTTCTCTGCTAGTTTCTCCGTTGTGTCATGCAGTTGTTTCATACTCTCTCCCCTTGCAGATTTTTTCGCTATCTCTTCTTGGTCTAACACGTATTTCTGCTTGTCAGCTCTAATCCTCCTTTTCATTTGTTTGTTTGCTTCTGTGTATTCAGTTTGTGCCTTGACTTTCTCTGCTTTTATTCGGCTCCCGTTAACTGATGTCCTCTTGTCCATCTTTTCTTGAATCCTCCTTAAGTTCTCGATGATGATCCATCCCTTATGATGATGCTTCTTGAAGTCGAAAACCTGATACGTTGAAGTTAGTGCTTCTTTGATCCCTTTCTAGTTGTCCTCTATTATAGTTTCTTCTTTGAATAAATCTTGTAAGACTTGAAACCTGTTGTGCAGAGCTGTTTTGAATTCGTTGAGTTTGTTAGTATCTCAAAGAAAGACGGTAGTAAACCTTTGTAATGCTGTTTCTCCAGTTGTCCAGTACTTGTTTACCTTCAGTCTCATCTTGGCAACCACCAGGTGGTGATCTGTAGTTATTTCAGCCCCTCTCCTGATTCTCATGTTTTCCATCGAAGTTTTCGTGATGGAATTGTGATCGACCTGGTTCTATGTATCGTGATTCGGTGAGTCCCATATAGCTTTGTGTGTGCGTTTGTGGGAGAATATTATGTCTCCTATAACCATTTTGTTAAATACACGTATCTGCAAATTTGCCACCATTCTCGTTGCTTTCTCCAAGTCCATGTCGTCCCATGGTATCTTCATACCCGGTGTTATCCATTTCGGCTTTGGTGCTTAGTCCCTCATCTGGATGGTCACGTCCTTTCCAGAGCACTTCGCTGTGATCGCTTGCAGCCTCTCATAAATCCTATCTTTATCGTCGTCGTTGGTGCTTAACATTGAATAACATTCGTTGTGACCCCCTCGTTCTTTGTTTTGAATGACGCTTTGATGATCCTGGGTTCGTGACATTCTCACCCTTGTTGTTGACACCATGCTCAACCTTCTTTCTTTACCAGGGATTGGGATCGGTAGTAAATCTAGAAGAGCTAATGGCGGAGTTTTATCGACTACGTGTATGGCAGAAAATCAAAAGCTTTCACAGACTATTTTATGACCTCCATACAAATGTTAATCATTTTGTATGCGATATGTTGTGTGGTAAATAGCTCATTTGCGTTTTACATAAGTTTAAGTCAATGGAAATATTCATAAAGGATATTGCACTCTTACAAAAATAAATGTACTTTATTTTTATAATCTTACCGTAAACATTTTTCAGGTCAATCGCGGACCAGATGTATCACGACCAGGTGGGTCAAAAAACTGCAGTGACTGGAACAGTGATCCTAGTCTATTTGTTGAAAAGTTTTTTGTTCCTCAACATCTCATGGGTTTAGCTATAGGTGCTCGTGGTGTAAATATTCGTGCTGCAAGAGAAATTCCCGATGTAATCCGTATCGAGTCATGGGAACCGTCTGAATATAATGCAAGAAATAATGACCCTGTCGATAATTCTGGAGATTATGGTGAAGCTGCGATGTTTGTTATAGAAGCCAAGGTATAACTTTTTCCAAAGTGATGATCTAGTGTTTTGTGTAAACAAAGAATGAGTTTTCGTTTGGCTAGCGTTATGTATTTTACTCGGTGGCTCACCCGTCTGTATGAGACAGTCGGACTCACATTACTATGTCTACTATCATTTCCATGCACGCATCCGTATTTCCCTTTTGTCCACATATAGGCCTTGCCTACTTAATTTAAACCAACTCATCACTCTTCTTATTTTTTCATATCGAACGACGGTATCAAGTCCTACGAGAAATTATTGAAAGCATAAGACAGCCCTCGAAGTCATTTAAAGTTGACTTATGAGTTGGTATGTTAGTGATTTGAAGAACAAATTTCCAGCTGTTAATATGAAAAGATTCTGATCAGTGGATAATATCCAGTGATACGATGTGGCCGAATGATGGCTATTCAAGACCAAATTATTAACGTAAGTCTCTGTATAACTTGAGATAAAAGACAAGACCTAGTCTGATAATCCCTGATGTTTGACGTAATTTCGACAGGAATTCAAAAATTCCTGTTGGCTAATGTCAACTTATGTCTCTTGAGATGTAGTTAAGATATCCATCTACCAACTGAGGGACGAGTTGACTGCGCAGTAGTTCTGTACATCCTACTTTGTGAAGGATGGCCATTAAAAGTAGATGATATTCATAGGTTACTAGTATTCGGTCATAGGTGTCTTCGTGTGCTTTAGGACAATTGAGTTGAGGATTCGGATGTTAGACGCAGAGTACTAGGTAACGATGGCAAATCAACTGGCGATGTGATGATATTTGCCGACTGAGACAATTCGAACACGTATTGCATATGCCCATTCACTGACTTCCACGACGTGCGATGATGTCTGGTGTAGGAATAGGTCGGAAGAAAGATGGGGTGACCGAACCAAGACATGACATCAATCTACGAAGGCACCAACTGTTGAACTGAGCAATGTGGGTGGGTGTATTGTCTGGTTGAGGTACATGCAATTATTGTAACCAATTGTAAGAGGATGAGTAACATGACTCAAAATCGTTCATAATGACTCAAGTGTGCTCACTCTTTGTCTCTCCTTAAATAATAAATTTCTAATTTCCTTAAAAACTTATTTCACTAAATGATATTTTCGTCTCGAACTGTATTTTCGATGCCTATCCTTTTCTATTTCGACTTGTACTGTTGATACCTGTACTACTATAGGATTCTCTCGGACAATTATATCTCGTTGTACAATGGGGTATGACAACCTATACCAGTATGATTGACAGAGGAATAGGTTCTTATAACAAAGTAACGTGCTTAAATGCAAATAATCAACAAGAGAATGATATCAAATGTAAACATCTGACCCGTGTCAATATTTTACGTCGTTTACCCTCCAATGAACTATCCATTCTGACTATAGCCCATCTTATCGGCGACAATGTGCCTCAACTTCACAATCTTCTTCAATTTCAAATATCTAATTGAAAGTTATGATACTCGCTTTACTTGATTTCATATATGTGGCTAAAGTAGAGAATTCACATCACCAAATTCCCGTCTCATAATACTTCCCTTACGAATAGTCAAAAAATGTGTAAAACCATTTCGCGGATTAAGCAATTCCTGGGTTAGAAATAAGGTACTAATTAAGAATGACAACTCGATTGCTGAGGTAGTAAATCTTCATCAACTGATGTGGTTGGAGCATGGTTTGCGCTTACCAAACCAACTACTACGTCGACTAGAAATGTTGCCTAGTGTATGAATAGAATGAAAGAGCGCCAAACCAAAACGTGGTATCAGTCCATAAAGTTATCGGCAACTGGATTAAGCCATGTAGGTAGGTTCAGACCATGTGCATCTGTCCTTTACATTTCCCCAAATTATAGTCTGAAGTCTTCTTGATGTTTATTCCACTAATTTATACTTATCAAATCTTCTATGTCTAATCATTTCAATCACCACAGATTCTGTTATTTCCCCTACCATTCTGGAGCATTTCTTTACTGAAATCACCGAAAACAATTTCATTTTGGGTGACGGTATCAACTCAGTTCACGATTTACTTGGACTTGATTACATGCTGGCTACTTTTTATTTATTTAAACATAAAGATTGGTGCAAAGGGGCACCAAATATTTTTACACCACACTTCATTTGATTTGTGTTTTGGCTGGAATATTGCCTAGGTTACCAGACCTCGAGCCTTTTACTTATAGATCCGGTCCACAAGGCAGTGGGGCAACGTTAGGAGACGCAATCCCATGGCCATGGTAGCCGATGACTAATAATCGGTTCACGACGATTTTTTCTCAGGGTTCATGAGCCTGTATGCACCACCGTTTTTGAATCAAGATTTTCCGAATTCCTTAAGTGAATTCCCAAAACCCACTAGCTTGATTGAAGCGTGGAGCGTTCGCCTTCCGTCCTTTCGACTTCGTAAACAACAGCCTCACTGCGGGAAGGCAGTAAGACTTCCTTGCTAGTGGTCGTATACGCGTGGCTATATGAGAGCATTTCGAGAGAGAGTGAATTCTTCCCACCTTCAACTGTATCAAAGCATGTCGGTGCTGGCTACTTTATGGGTCTTGTTTTGTTTTCTACTACATTATAAGTTACATCATGATAACAATACTGTATACGATCACCATCGTCGAATTATACTACTCACACTAGTTTCAGAACTTGAGATCCACTTATCTGACATCTTTTCTCACCTGAGCAGTAACTTTTCAAATCGTTTATATACCTTCACCTTGAAAAGACAGTCAGTAGGATTTCTCTGCTAATGGTCGTATTTGCATGACTATATGAGAGCATTTTGAGAGTGGAATCTTTCCACCTTCAACTGTACCAAGGCATTTGAAGGTTCGTATGTACGGTCTGTTGGTTAAGAATCAATTATCCTAACCACTGAGCTACTATACTATTTGCGAAACGCTCCACGAAGTTCGAGTTCTGGCCGGCTAACCCATATGTAGAGGAGGTAATTTAAATGTCGTCCATACCTATTGACTGAGGAGTCCTTTTAAGCCCGATTATTCAATTTCACCTAGTCCACGAAATTACCATTGAGGTATTGCGAGATCACATGAATAAATCTATCAGAAAATTAGAACATAATATCCGGCTGATTGTACGATAATAAATTGAATAGAGGGGATAAGTGGTCTGCTAAAAAATTTCACCAACAGGTACATCAACTAATAATTTTGAAGATCAGTAGTCGTTCCTCGAATTCGTACACCATTACGTGTAATGTAGGTGATTCAACATATATTCCAGATATCTGATGAACTCTACAGTCACGAAAATATTTGATTTGAAATAGTAGTCAACCACTGATCATCTTTAAAAAAATATTTGGTGTTTAGCTGTATATCATTTCATGTTTCTGTTAACTCATTGAACAGGAAGCAATGGTTACTTCACTATCCATCCTCGAAGTTTAAAAGAATGTGCATATGTAATACATTCAAAAACAGATTGGATGTACTTTGCAAGTATATATTAGAAATGGCTATCTTCAATTTTCTCTCGTCTCAGTATTTATTTTTAATAAATTTCCTGTCAGATAATTGGTTAGCGAACATGTACTTTTCTCATGTAAATATTAACTAGTTTTTTCATTAATGATACAGCTTTTAGACAACGTAAATGTTGTGTCTTTTGTATGTCTGAAAAATAGAAGGATTTTGTGTTGTCTGGTTGGTAAAATTAACATATGTGCTATGTTTTAGTTTTACAGAGTAAAGTGACAATTACTTGATTGTTTTATTTTTATTGCTGGAAATGAACTCTAATTAAAATATTATTATTGGTATTAATGGTTTAAAATTCTAGACTCCGGAAGCTGCAAAACAAGCTCGAGCTAAATTGGAATACTCCGAGCTATATTTAGGTGTTCCACGTCGTTATGTAGGACGTCTGATCGGAAAAAGAACCTCAAATATTATGTCCATTATTCGTAAATCTGGTGTTGTTCACATTCATTTCGATGATCATATTGAAGGCTCCGTGTCTCTCAGCGATGATAATAACCAAACTGATGTTATTAAGTATTCCCATCCAGGGCATCCTTTAGCAAGCACAATGCGACGAGTCTTTCTAAAGGTAATGATCATACATGTCTTTTTGTTCACCTAATATTCTGTGTACATACTAATACACCTGGGCAGTATCACAGCCCTCACACAAATTTAATGAGATTTGTGTGGCGCATATGTATTTGGTACCTCCTTGTACCAATATCTATGTGTTAAAATAAATAAATAATCACAGTACGTTTATATGCCTAAACGTATTAGTTCAACAAACTGAGTATTCTATATTCTTTTTAGTTTTTTATATATGGGCTGTTCAATATATCTTTAGCTTCTCCAGTGGATTGTCTGTCAACTTTTAGAAGAGCTTATACACCGGTCTACAATATCATCAAACTTAATCATTTTACCTTAGTTAGGTGGTTGTAGTGATTTTTATATAGCTTTTCATTCTTGAAATTTATATGATGATTTACATTATTTTAAAAAATAGAAGTGATTTCACATCTGTAAATATCTTAGAAAGTCGTTAGATGAAGAGAATACCTTTAAAACAACAATTGTTTGCACTCTCAACATATAATTCAGTGCCTGGAACCAATAATATTATTTATACCTTAATCACTCCTCAGTTTTGTATCAATTTTTCTTTGAAGTTGTTTCATTCTATTGGTTACTTTTCCAAATGTATTCGTGATTTATACGAATATTCGTCAATATTAGAACTACTAACAGTTTGACAAATATTGGGTGCCGAGTATAAAGTAGACATAATATATGAAAATTATATTTGAAATAATCTCAGCGTTTGAAATTTAAATAATCCCAACGTTTTGTCCCGCGAACCTGTCTGAACTTTTGAAGAAATAATATTAAAGTAGTTCAGATAAGTTTGTTGGACGAAACGTTGGAATTATTTAAATTTTAATCGTTGACATTACTTCAAAAATAATTTTAACACAATGTATTCCAATGGTCAAATAAGATCACAGGATAGACAGTCATCACCATCCATTGCGAAACATTTGATTGAGACGGGTCATAAGGTTGATATCAAATCAGCATTTGTTGTGTTGTACAAAAGCCTTCAAGGACGTATACTAAGGTTTATTGAAGCCTTGGCTATACGAAAATTAGAACAACACATATAAGCGAACAATGGTTTTCAATTAGATCGTCATCAGGCTTTACTCTAATGTGCATGAATATTTATACGAAAATGTAAACCAATCAAGGCAATACGGGTCAATAATCACAATGAAATAGAAAAAAATCGAAACCCCCTTTATGTGTTCAAAAACAATTTGTACTTACACTTAACCTACCCTGGTAGTACTGATTTACTGTCCAGAGTGGTAATCACATTTGTTTTTGTGTACTTGAATATTTTTCCTTTGTTATGACTTACCCTTAACCTGTCTAGTTGACCTTTTAATTTTCATATATAAATGTTCTTAACAAGTATATGTGTGATCAGATTGTTCGAAATGTATTGCGCAAATATATCACACAATTCTGATAAACGTCTTCTCATTGCATTATCGAAATGTATTCATCGTTATTTAAGAAAACCATTCTATTTACTTTTGTTTAAGGAACTGGATAGTATATTTGGTTTCATCAAAAAACGCAACTCATGACCAAGCTCATGAACATTTTTACTTGTACTGAATTGAATTCACTGATACACTGATCTTAAATACATGTTCCATTATCCATAAATGAAAATTGTCACTTATATATTAATAGCTTTAATTGAACCACTATTTTCGTTCATTCGGTTCTACAAGGACACGTGATTACGCCAAGCTTTCTGTTTTCCTTCTAATCACTTGCAAATGAAATTTTGAACTCAAAATAAGTAAATATTGACTATTTTTTATTCTGAATAATCTACCGCATATTTTTCGTGATTTGGGTGAACAATCTAGTTTTTAACGTCGCGATATAGAAGTATCGAAATAGGAATCCGTGATTTCTAAAAATAAAAATAATCATTAAACACAACTCAAATATTTCTTTCTAGCTACTAGCATCAGATATTTTCAATTGAGCTTTGCTTCCTGTCCATTCACAGATATTAAACTTTTAAAATACTTTGGTTAATCAGGTATAGTTAGAGGGTGGTTGATTACTTTGTGTATTTATTGCATGCCGGACATGTGATGGTAACCGTGCTCGCTAATTGCCAGTGTTGACAGTAGATGGAAACAGATATAGACTGGATTGTGAATAAAACTAAAAAATAGGGGTTTGATGAATGTCCTCCAATCTCATTATTACTCAATCAGTGCCACATTTTATTAATATTACTTTGAGTTGGTAATTATTCTCTTACGTCAAAACATTAAATTTTATTTTCGTTGGTCTTAAGGTTGCAAGTGTATATATTTTATTCTGAGGTCAAAATTATTGATCTGTTCTTAGACAATTTTAATCTTCAATAATTAAATTCATGAGTCACTTAAAGCTAGACCACCATGGAAAACCTGGATGGCCGTTTCGTCCTAGTATGGGATTGGTTGAAGTTAGATATTAACACCGTTAGATGCCGGTCACCTCAATGGTTTAGTGGTTAGGCGGTTGCGCGCAAAACTGATACGTCCTGCGTTGGAATCTCGCAAGACAGGATCTTGAATTCGCATTGTTGAAGAGTCCCACAATAGACCGAAACGGCTATCCAGTGCTTCCAGGTTTTCCATGGTGTTCTAGCTTCAATTGACTCGTGATTTCAACTGTTGAAATTACTAAAATCTTTACAAAACTCCTGATAATGTTAATCTTGTCAAATTTTATAGGCTGGAAGTGCTCAAACATCCTCACAACCATATACAGATGAGGAATACGGTGGATTCATACTAGCTGGTACAAGGGACTCGATCGAAAAAGCGCGTTTGTTGATCAACTTCCAAATGGATTATTTCTATGATCTTGAAAAAATGGAGGTTAGTTATAAATGGCGAAATTCTGTGCCGTATTTGTGGCAGTGTACATTCCAAAAGTTTGTTTTTCCTTGTGTCAATTCGTTATAATGGGCGTTGTCTAAGATCTTATATTGATGCACAACGTGTTACGGGCTAACCCTTCCCCACAAACTGGCTAGTTACGCGAGAAGATAATAATAGAAGTGAAAGTCTATTGGGCTACCGATATATATATATATATATATATATATATATATATATATATATATAATTAACTCATATCAGAATTCAGTATAAATTAAAACGAGGTACTAAGTCAGAAATCAACGCTCAAACTATTTCGTTTAGCAACAACACATGCGTAATGAATCAACGGACCTGGGAAGGGGAGCCAGATTATATTGACTAGTGCTAGAGGGGTGAAAGACGCCAGTTGTCGTTTCATGGACGTCTATGCCACTCAGGGACACTTTTAAGAGACCTACAAAGAGGCCATCTGGATTATCTGCGACTGTCCAACGGCCTAGGTTCTGTCACACACAGTCTATTTGTAAGTATTTTCAGATGTTTTAAATCCGTGCTTTGCAAACCTTCCTTTTAGCGACAAGGATCCATGGAGCTAGTCAAGTTATGCTACTTTCGGACCGACTTTTTGTAATCCTCTACGTTATGAAAAAACTACATACCCTGTCTGTCTGAGGGGGACGCAAAATTGGCACTACACCTCTTTGCAGTTGACAGTACGACTTCGGACTTGGACCCTGAATCGCAACTACTGTCAAACTAATCTGCTTGACATGGTAGGGCACTGAAAAACAAATGTTTCATCGAATATGGATCGATTCTAGTCATCACGATATCCAAAAAACCTACACGTCAAGCTATTAGCTACATTTGTAAGCGATGGGTATGGTAAACGGAGAATAACGAAGGGTTCAAAATTTAGCATGTATTTAAAGGACGAGCCTGAGTTGTTCTAAATTGCCTCAAGACAACACACAGTTTCCAACTACTAGTTATGAGCATCTCACTAACCCATCTCTAGTATCCCCAAAATTCTCAAATCGCTAATCACGTGCGTTTAACCACAAGAAACTGATAAACACCTACGCATACGAAAAGTTGACGTTTTATGACAAATGGTAGATTCGTGTTGTAGGCATGATTCTCGGTTGTTTCGATTGAAGATTCGGATTTAATTCTATCTTCTGCAGCGTGGAAATGCACTTCATGTTTTTTATTCCATATAGTGTACATGTCGTTTGAAGAGCTGTACTACTAAAAGCAGAAAATTTTGGGTCGAAGAGCGAACTAGTTCTGCTAATTGGATTGAGATGTTACAAAGTATGGATTTCTCTCATAATTGACTAACATTCCCAGCTATGTTCCCTTTTCTATTGCAGTTTTAAGGCATCCACTAAAGGTAAATAGCTTCAAAACCGTAAAGACATATTCGAACTGTCGTGTATGTTACAGAACAATAATCGAGCAATATATATATATATATATATATATATATATATATATATATATATTCTTAATATCTTCATCGAGTCCTCCCTGTTAATCGGTGACGCTGCTCAGTTATGTAAAAGTTTCCATATCATCCAGAATTTGTCCATCAAGTGTGATTGTATTGGTATTCTCCTTGTTGTATTTGAGGATTTTGCTTTTTCCCGTGTGTTTGTTGAAGACCATTGCTTCTGTGGCTACTGTTACACTGTTTGTCTTCACCTGCATTTGTTCGTGTGTATGGGACAGAATGGTCAGGTCATATGCCATGTTCAAATCTTGTAGTTGCATCCAAGCCGTCCGCTGTATTCAGTTTTTCCCCTCAAATGTTGAGGGCTTCATAATCCATGCTTCTTTGGGTACTATTACTGCATCTCCTTGTTTGTGGGAGAAATTTCCTTCTTCATGACCAGAGTATAACAACCTATCTCATGAAGCTAATTTTTACTTTTTATCTTATTCTGAGCACCCCATCTTAGATATTATTTCCGTCGCTACTTGTCTGATCCTTCCTCATCCTCCAGGCAGTCCAGGTAAGTATGTTTTGCTGTAATTATTCGAATGGGCATCGACCTCGTGACTACGGAATAATTTTGACTTTCACTATAAAATGTCATAACTCTTCCAAATAAGGATCGTTCACCTTCTAAGGCAGAGTTTAAATTATTTTTTCTACTCCACGCACAACTTTTCTTTGTCCGGGAGTTGGGCCATGGCTGGAATTAGTAAGATTGTTCAGTAAAGAATTTGTTCAAATTGATTCTCTTTCTCTAAACGTTAAGCACCAAATATATATTTTGTACACTTGACTTTTATTATTAAACCATTTAGATATTGTTTTATTCTCATTGGGATTATTATAAGCTGATACACTTTTCACTTCAGAATTCTATCATTACAGTCTGTGGCTTTTAGTTAACAGATTATTTTCTTTTTATTGCATCATTAATAAGAGCGAAAAGCTGGAGTTAATGCGTAGTTTATCTCATGGTGGAGTGGACTCTGGTCCAGGCTACCCAGCTCGTGGTACGGCAGTCGGACGTTGGGGTGAACGTGGTGGTGTTGGGAATTATGGCCGTGGTGGTCGCGGACGCAGACCAGGTCGTGGTGGCCTGTTACATCCTCCTTTTAGTGATGTCAATCATGGACATTATACAGATGATGAAAATATTGGAAATCCAATCCCCTGTCGAGGTGCAAAACGTACGGTATGCAGTTAATTATCTGTTCAGTGGTCTTCTCGAGCTATTTTATTTGTGACATAATACGCAATTAATCGCATAATAAATAGTGATTCAGAATTCAACTGAACTGAATGAGTAAAAATTGAATGAACACACCGTTTGAATGTCTCAATTGCCAATCGGGTTAAAGGTTAGAAAGATAACAAAATTCCATTAGTCTCATCTATACCATTCATAAATGTGCGTTTATTTACTAGTCGATCGTGTCAGAATGAGCTGATAACTGACCTTTCGCCAGTTGATCACAGTTTCGCTTCTCTCACTACGTCAACATTCAGGTCTATCCTCACATTCAACAAGCTACTTGATTAATGACACGTTACTATTCATTATCAAAGGTTGCAAAACTTGCATTCATGTAAAGAACTATTATTCGAGGTGTGAAAATTATGATGTTTGGCTTGTTATTTGATCTTCATTGTCTAGTGTTCATAAATGGAGTCAAATATTGGTATAATCTAACCTTTAGTTTACTCCCAGCTATGTTTTACTGTGTTCGTTGTAACATATTTTGTGTATAATCCTAAGGCATCTTCCAGACAATCGTTGTATTTTGTACGCATTCAAATGACTATGTTAAAAACTACCAGCAATTTGAATTTTTCGACACATTATGGTAGAGCTTTTGTGGCAGCTGTGTGGTGTATCTCTGGTAAACTCTTGTGTGCTATCCTAATAGTGATATTATCGATAGAAAATATAAAGTCTATCGTCGTGCTGTACAGTATGTTTATAGTATTACTAAAAAGGCTGCAGAATTCAAGCATCAAATTATTAAGGTTTCTATATTCTGTCAAGAAAATTTGCTAACAAATAGTTAACCGTCTTAAATCTTTCTTGTAATGAGATCCGTGTTCAAAATCATTTCTTTTCAACTCGTAGATCATGTTTGATATATCAGTGGCAACTCGAACTGATGTACGTACGTACAAAGTCCCACGATGTTACTGACTGACTAGTAGGCATGCGCCAGTAAAACTCATGATTAATCTAGGGTGATTCACAATTGAGTCTTGTTCAAATCATGATTCCTCTTCGGAAATAAATATTTCATCAGAAAATCTTCCCGGCAATTTTGTTTTTAAGAACTGAGCAATTATCTTTATATGCAATGATTAATGTTCTTCAATTTTTATGAACATCTAATCCATTAAATATAATCATGTAATTTGGCAGAATGACAATTTATCTATTTTGTTAATTGAATTACAGCCTCGTGAAACATACGGTCACCGTAGTTCTGGTGGAAGAATCCCACGTCAAAGTGGAAGAGGAAGTCGGCGAATAGGAGGTCAAGGTCGCGATTCTAATTGGAATAACCTCATGAACAACAACGGGGATGTCGCTGACCGTCGTCGAGGTTCAGGTGATTCGGATGTCTTGGAGTCTGACAACTTGCCTGATGGTTTGTCTGCAGAACGAGCAAACGCTGGAAGACATAACAGAGTAGGACGTCATTCTCCAGCTCCAAATGGATTTTATTCTGATAGAGAACGTGGGGACGAAAGTGAGGATACCCTCAATCCTAGCAATGAAAACAATTTCCCTTGTGGTGATGCGTCTTCTGAAGACGGCGGGGGTTGTTCAGTTGACAATATGCGCTCAAGACTGAATAAATATGTACATAGTTGGTAGGTAGCTTGTTAATTTTGAAAACCGGTTATATTACGTTTAATAATCAATTTAAAAATGGCAGGACGTTTCTTTATCTGCAAACAGTTTACAGTTATGGGCGAGATCTACTAAAAAAGTAAAATTCTTTAAAGCAATTAAGCACAAAATATAAACAAATCACAAATCATAATAAAAGGTAATAGTCTGAAAAATAGGAGACACGCGTTACCCGTTTCCATTTTGGTTGCAAACTTTTCAAGGGTAATCACTGACAGCACCTGTGCGGGCGTAAACCAAGGATTATTTTGGTTCTATATCTAAGGTCACTCTTGATAACACAGTATTATTATTTATTTGAGCACAAACTGGTGCCCAAACGGATGTATCACGTAACCAAGACATATAACAATAAAAAATAAAAAAACTAACGAGTGTAGTATGTTGCGGGAGTAGAAGTTTAGTTTGAAAATAATAGCCAGAAAAACTTTCGGAAAAAAAGTGCCTATAAACTTTATATGTTAAAAGTAAATCTCAGCAGACATGTTAGTCTGAGTCATATTTGATTACGTCAAAAGCCACTGAGTCGAACTGTCTCTTCTTGGGTAAGTGTGTGTCATAGAAATGCTCTGTGGAGGCTGAATTCTTTGTACTCCCCGGCTGTAGCAGGGTTTTTAATTCCTAGTGTGCACACGATCGCTGCTTCACGAACGATGTAAGCCTACATCCTCATTCCGTTTCTCAGAAACATTACCACAAGGTTATTTAGTCTTCTTAGAGGGATAAGTTTGTGGTTATTAGGTGGAATCTTATCTTCCACGGACTTTTTGAGAAGTTCTGAGTCATATTTGATTACGTCAAAAGCCACTTAGTTGAACTGTCTCTGAGACTCTGTCCAGGTAATCGTAATGGACTAATATTTTATAGTCCCATACAATTTTCTTTCAAACCACGAGGCTACAAACTGACCACTTGTTCGCTTTTCTTACCTCATCCCAGCGTCGACAACACTGCACTGTGTGGAAGTTGCTTGGATGACACACGTAACATATCCAATCCTATGTTTCAATATGGTTACATTAACCAAATTATTACTACTATGTATAGACGCACAATACTGGCATAGTTTTACAATTGAACGCCAGCAATTCAGAGACAACGACGATCGAACACAGTGTCGCCGAACATCCTTGACTCGAACAGGTCAGGTTTCGCAAACACAGCAGGACTGCTATCACCAAATCATTGTAGACCCGACCATTTGCACTCAGAATGTCGTCAAAGATGGTCCAATATAGGTATATAGGTCTCATCATTCACGCCACCACCAACGCTCATCGAACTACCCGAACACACGAACTTTTCGACCACCTTTAAGAGCTCACCACTAAGAGTGAGGCTTCTGCCAATCGTAGAAATACTCTGCACTTATAAAGTGCAAAGTATATGCCATGCCTACTGACTGGACGCGATTTGCGTAGTATGTGTATCATCGCATATTAAGACAATATCACACATATTACACATGATTCGCTGGAGTATCCCAAGCAGCTGTAGAGAAGCATTGCTTATAAGCGCAGAACGTTTTGAGAAGTCACATGAGACGTGACCTGCAATTTTCATAACGTCTTGCAAACGCAGCCGGTGTTCATCCATACTTTTCGGTGAATTGAAAGCTAGGCTTGATATTTAGTTATTATATGTGAAAATTATATTTGAAATATTCTCAGCGATTGAAATTTAACTAATTCCAACGTTTCGTCCAGACAAGTTAGCTGGACGAAACGTTGGAATTAGTTAAATTTCAATCGCTGAGAATATTTCAAATATAATTTTCACATATAATGACTTCTCTATACTCGGCGCTCAATTACTGTCAAACTATTCGTTCTAATCTTGACGAATATTCGTATAAATTGATATTTAGTTGCAACAAAATCTGCAGCCAATTTACTCAAAACAATCTGTTTAGGACGATGAACATTTTGGCCACTGAGACGTAACATGAGATTAGTGTAAACAAGGGTATGATCAAAGTCCAGGTATGTACTTCAAAAGGAACAGTATAACCACGCCAACAGTAACTGGTCACGGTGTGGTTAATCTGAGTCGACGACTGGGTTGCAGAGGTAGGGTTCCAGGTAGCACATCAGCGATAACTGTGCAAGAAATCTGACGTTCAGAACTAGATTTTGGTCTTCTCAAGTTTTCAGGAGACCGTCATCGTCATTTTTTCTGCAATCAACGAGTCCCTACTGGTCACCCAAGCTTTCGACCAAAGGATCTAATCCACAGTAGAGTGAAGTGACATCACAAAATGCAGTGCCATGGCAGCCGGTGACCAATGTCTGTTAATGAACTTTATTTTCACATCCTAGAATTCATATGCATCACCGGCTTAGAATAAGGGTCTTTTTAACTTGCATCCATACCCGTTAACCCGCTTCGGTCGCTGGATATTCGTCTTTCATCACCCCACTTCTGTAAAAAGCACCCTCACTGTGAGAATGGAGTGGATTGAAGTCCTCTGTCAGTGGTTATGAGTGCGTAGCCATATGAAAGCATTTCGTGAGGAAGAGAGAACTCTGTCTACCCTTACTTGTACTATGACATTTAGAGGTCCAGTTTCGTTTATCGATTCAACTCTCCACTCAATCGTGGCATTTACTTAGTTGTCTCACAATACGTCACTGGTACTTCGAAGTTTTTGCGATTGAAGATAAAGGTACGGACATCTTATGTCCTCGGACAATTGGGAAAAGCTAGACGGGCTTTGTATCCGTGCCAAAATTTCTTAACAACCCAGCAGTGTTGTTAAGATTCACAAGATAAAAATTACTTAAAGTAGCTCGTTCTCCAGGTACTCGGGTATAAGCCACACAATTATTGTAAAGGCTAATAAAACCACCAAGCTGACGCTAACTATCTCAAGCCACTATTCTTCAGGGCATCCCATGTCAGCTTATCAGGCCTTACTGCACTTCCACTCTTCAAGTTTATTATAGCTTTCTAGTAGTTAGATGCCAACTTTCTCATTCCGTCAGCCGAGTTTAGTAGTATGAATACACAGTTATTAGTTTCCTTGTCTTCTACAGTGGTAATTTGAATGTGACCGTTTTATTATGACTCATATGAGGTACGACCTCAAAGGTACCATTATTATTTGTTTTTTAGTCGTAACAGTAAATCACGTCCCCCACGTCGCTCACATCCAGCTCGTCCCCAAAATTCCGACCAGTGGGATACCAATTGTCAATTCAACAACGTCGATTCATCTCTTGGTAGTCAGAAGTTACGTAGTGGTGGTCAGGGTAATTATTCTGCCAGACAGCAGTCGGCGCAAGTAGTATATCAGGAATAGAGATCCTTGCACACTTTTACTGGATGTTTGTGTGTACCTCTTTAAGTTGAGTTAACGAAAAAACTTCATGTATTACATTCTCATATCTTCATTTCTTGTTGTTGTTTGAATATTGTTTCTTTTGTTACTTTCCCGGAGTTATATATATATATATATATATATAGTCTTATACCGACAATGTTGTCTGGTTTTTCGCAAACATTATTACTAATATCCAATCTCATCTTCATTTCTTACACACGAATACGTTACACATGTTTATACAACATTACAATTTCTTAAACCTGTGATTAGCATGCATATCTTATGTGGTTCATTAGTTTATTCGCGCTCAAGTAGCAGTACTTCATTTTAACCGGTTCCAGTCATCTCATTCAGTATCAAGATTTTTAAGCAATAAAAAGACAACCACTTCAGGTGTACTCATAAGAAACTGTTATGTCTTCATTTCTGTCACCTTCTAAGAATAATCACCTTTGAACTAACTACTTATCCACCGGTAACTGCGTTTTTCCATCTAAGTGTATTAACTAGTTCTAATTTATTCTATACGTTATCTTCTGAATAAACAATTTCTCTTCGTTACAATCTTTTCTTCATACATTTTTTCATACTTTCCTTTGTTAATGTGCCTTTTCAAGTCACTTGAACTTTTTAGAAGTATTTGTTATTTCTCATGCAAAAACTGATGAAAGCATAAAAGCTTTTGTCATTTTACAGTGGATAGTTTGTAAATTTTACTTATGTCTATGTGTTAAGCATGCTTGTGTGTATATGTGTGTGTTGTTAGCACTCTTCAACTTGTCAGTCTTCCGAACTCTTTCTAAAAAAACATTGTGGTATGAGTGGCCTTTTAATGTAATATGCTACTCATTCATTTTATTGTATTGGGTTTATCCATCTTACTGCTAACTTGTTCTTTTCTGTTCATGCGCCTCTTGCATATTCGTTAATTAAGTTGCATTTTCGTCCTTGTGTTTTTTCTTACGGGCGATATACTGCCTGGTTGACGCATTCAGCAACTAACAGTCCTTTTAGCGAACGAACGTCTTACAAACATCAGTACTAACTTTTTTGATTGAGATCATGAACCGATTGATGTTAGACCACCATCGAAAACCTGGGTGCACTGAACTGTCGTTTCATTCTACTGTGGGACTCCTTAGCAATGCGCGTCCACGACCCAGCTCACGAGATTCGAACTTAGGGCCTTCAGTCTCGCGCGCAAACGCTTAATCTACCGGACCACTGAGGTGGCATCCAATGTTGTTAATGTCTAACCCCAATCAATCCACGAAATCGCGCGTTCATAGGTAGCGTTAGACTTAACCGGATAATTGTTTCTGGGATATTCTTCTGAGTAACCCAACATCTCCCCTTTGGAGAAGTTAATAGCGACGTAACCGAGGGTTTACTTGAAGTTTCTTTGGGTGTCTTATTTTGCGATCCGACCTCCGAGGCAACCACACAGAACCAGAAGGATGTTCTACTTGAGTAGATGACTTAGTCGTCTCTGTTGGAGGTATTGGCGGAAGTTGAAACGTGTCCAACAGCAAGTCGAGTGGGACATGTTTTGTAATTGCTTCTTTCTCCTTCGCTTTCCTTGACCTGAGTTGATTGTGGTGCCTGGTCCAGATTTCTTGGTTCACCTTGACACCATACAGGACGTTCCCATGTTTTTGTGTGATTTCACCCTCCACCCATTTATCACATCCATGTCTATAATCTCGCGCATACCAACTTCGTAGGGAATTCGAGTATTCTTCATCTGGGGGCTTTGTCGGGCCACTTGCTTGGGTTTCATCGCACCATGAACTGTCCGTAGCTTTCGCCCCATAAGCATCTCAGCACGGGATTTGGCAATAAGTCATGCGGGGTCGTCCGGTACGCAGCCAGAAATCGTTCTATGATATCTTCTGTGGTCCCCTCCTCTCGTGCTCTAAGCATGGCTCGTTTAAATGTATCAACGAACCTTTCAGCTTGTCCATTAGATTGCGGGTGATATGGCGGAGAACGGACATGGTTGATGGAATTTTGCAGGCAAAATTCTCGGAATTGGCTAGATGTGAATTGTGAACCATTGTCTGTTACTATTGTTTCTGGAAGACCGTGCTGAGCGAAGATCCGATTAAGGAGTTTAGAGGAGTTGTAGAGGGTGGCGCAATCGGCAATATCTCCGGCCATTTGGAGTATGAGTCAACCAGTATCAGATATGTGGTACCATCTAGGGGTCCGGTGAAGTCAATATGCAATCACGACCAGGGTTTTCCTGACCTCGGCCAGGGCACTGGAGGCAACTTAGGAGGATTTTTCGCAGCTTTTTGGAATGTGAACATCTTTTGACGAAGTCGACAATCTGCTTGTCCATATTTGGCCAATATGCATAGCTTCGAGCGATAGATTTCATACGGTTTATCCCTGGGTGTCCAGAGTGGAATTGGCGTAGGACTTTGGAACGTAGGGTTGTTGAAATTACTACGCGATCACCGAACATCAGACAATCGTTAACAATACAGAGAGCGCTGCGACGATTCGCTAATTGTTGCATATCACCACTCAGCTGCTTAACTGGCCATCTGCTCTGAACATAGGTGATCGCTTCTTGGATAATCGGGTCTTCTCTGGTAGCTTCCCGAACATCTTCAGCGATAACAGGCATTGCTCGAACGGCATTCGCCAATAGTGTAGCACCGGAATCCTCTTCGGTTGATACTATGGCTATGAGTGTGTCCTCATCAGTGGTAGAATGATTATTGATAAGTCTGGACAGTGCATCCGCTTTACCAAAATCTTCGGAACGTCGATACTGGATGTCGAAGTCGTACCCCAATAACGCCTAACGTTGAAGACGATTAGCCGGATGGGCAGGAATGCCTTTCTTTGATCCAAAGATTGATAACAACGGCTTGTGGTCTGTGAGCAAGGTGAAACGGCGCCCATAAATGAATTTGTGGAATCGCCGGACAGCAAAAATTAGGGCTAACGCTTCCTTCTCTATCTGGCCGTAGCGTTTCTCAGCAGGTGTTAGTGTTCTCGAAGCGTGCATCACCGCTTTCTCTGACCCGTCGGGAAAGACACGTGAGATTACGGCACCCAGTCCATGTGTTGAAGCGTCAGCAGCAACCACAATGGGTAGTTTCGGATTGTAGTGGGTTAGCAGAAGATTGGAACTTAGCATGGCTTTAAGTTTTGAAAAGGCTGATTCACATTGCGTTGACCAATTCCAAGTAGCATTCTTTTCTAGCAGACGATTTGATGGATATCGTACGTCATGCAGTGACGGAAGAAATGCTGAATAGTAGCTAATCATCCTCAAAAATGATCGCAGTGAGGAGACATCAGTGGGAGCAGGCATTTGTTGGATGGCGTAAGTATTTTGAGGATCAGGGTGTCGTCCAGAAGCATCAAAGATAAACCCCAGGTACTTAACGAAACGTAAGAAGAATTGGCATTTTTCTGGGCGAAGGCGAAAACCATTATCCTGGAGGCGTTACAGAACTAAGTGGGTTCTGGTATGCAATTCATCAACAGTTGAGCCGACAATGAGCACATCGTCAAGGTATGTAGCAACACCAGGAACATCTGCAAGAAGTGTCCATGATCTGCTGGAAGATCGCTGGAGCAGTTTTGGTACCGAAGGGTAACCGGGTATACTGAAAAATTCCTCGGTGAGTGTTGATTGTCAACAACTCTCTGGATTCTAGAGCGACTGGAATTTGAAGGTAAGCATCTGCCAGATCCAGCTTAGCAAAATGGGTACCACCATTTAAAATAATAAATAAATCATCTGGGATCGGCAGCGGATAGTGATGCTGTTGTAGATTTTTTTACAACCACAATTGGTGCAGCCCATGATGAATAAGAAACAGGTACTAGGACACCTTCAGTTTCCAAACGTTGAAGTTCAGCGTCAACCATATGTAAAGATGCGTATGGGACTGGACGCTTTGTTCGAAAAACTGGCGTAGCTTCCGGCTGCAGTTTTAAAACAGCTTCAGTTGTGGAACAAAGTCCGAGACCAGGCTTAAATAATTCAATAAATCGTTTTCGAAGGTCTTCAGCATGCTGTTGTGTAGAAGCAGTAGTTTGGACTTGATTGCAGATAGCGCTAATAGGAAGATCAGCGGGACCAAGTTCTTCGAACCAATCTAAACCTAAAAGGTTGAGCGTAGAATTGGTGATGTAGCATGTCCCATTGAAGGTTGTACCTCTGAAAGAAATACAGCAACAGAGTTCACCGTGAAGGCGGAGATGACCCCCACAAGCACTGAGGGCTGTTTGAGAGGATGGTTTGATGGGAGGTTGTCCCAAGGTTCGCCAAGTCTTTTTCGACAAAATGGTGATATCTGATGCAGTGTCCAACTGCAAACGAACAGGCTGACCATTGATTGAGAGGGTCAGAAATTTGCTTCGAGTCGCGGCATGAGTATGGAAGACTGCTGCTAAACTCCTTGATGAGGTAATCGGCTTTTTGTGAAAACGACGCTGCGTCTGTGCATTTCGACGGTTATTGAATCGGTTGGATTTGCAAAAGCCGCTTTTGTGAACAACTTTCTGACAGCGATCGCACACACGCTGTTTGAATGGACAGAACTTCACATAATGCCAGGCTCCACAGTGCCAACATGGCGAGGGGGGCTTCTTCTGAACCGGTTTAGAGTGATTAGAGATAGAAACAGCGCTGGCGTTCGAAGGACTCGAGTTTGTTGATCTCGAAGATTTTTTCTGGTGCTGAACAGCATGAACTTCGGAACCACCCTGACCCCCAGATTGAACCAAAGTGGTGTCACGCTGCAGATTGATAATACGCTGGTATTCGTCTATGATCGCATTAAGTGTCAGTGTTGGATCTTGTTCAAGGCGGTTGAGCAACCGAGTTCTGATGTCGGAGAATTTGGGTGACTGAAGACTGCATATGAGTACTAGGGACTTGAATTGGTCTTCAGTGAGGGATCTGAGCTTGAACCGTTCACACTCACGGTTAACAACGCCGACGTGAGTTAGAAAGTCATCAGACTCATTCATGACCATTTTTAAGCAGTGATATCGGGTACTGAAGAGTGAGTGATGATCACCAAAAAGTTGGCTAAGAGACTGAATAGTGGCGTCGAATGAACGGTCGCGTGGGTTCTGCGGTAGAATGAAGTTGCAATACTTATCCAGCTCGGATGGACCAAGTTTACGGAGACGAAGACGCATCTTCCACGAATCATCTCTGTCAACAAAGTCAACTTTGACAAGGTCTTCATAACGCCTGAACCAGGTATCAAATGTAATGTTGGCATCAGGATCATAAAGAAATTCTGAAATACCACTGGTAATACCATCAACTGATTCAGGAATTGTCGGTGCAGTTGGGACTCGAGAAGATATGTGCGTCTGAGTAATCATCTCCATCGGCTTCAGCTGCTGTTTGAACAATTTTTCTAATTTGGCTGGATCCATAGTTAATCACCAACTTGTTGCTAAATCTCCGTCGCCAAATTTATTGTGAATCGCGAGTTGGCTACTCTAAATTCTACCGATTGACTAGCTTCAGATATCCCAGTTCGACCCCAATACTGTTCCCAATCTCCAATATATCAGGACACGAACCGTAGATGAAAAATCGTTTATGGGGTCAGGAGCAGCAGAATAATGATTTACAAACAAATGCATATTTATACAGTTAGGATTACTATAAATATTGACCAACAGAAAGATGACACGTTAATTAATATTGACCAATAGGAAAATGACACGCGAAATAAATATTGATCAGTAGGGAAACGACCAATAGGGAAATGACACCATTTAACGTTCAAGGGTAGCGTTAGACTTAACCGGATAATTGTTTCTGGGATATTCTTCTGAGTATCCCAACAGTCGTACCAGATTCAAGACTTGCGAACCAAATTCACACTCCATAGTGCTTTATTCAATATAATTGCAAGCAGTGAGTCCAGAGTGTAACTCAACGACAGGAAAGATA